CTCAGTGTTCACGTATGCTTGACATCAGTACTAGATGGAGGCCAGTACCCAGCGTTAAGCATCGGTCGCTTATCCATCGCAGCAACTGAACAGAATGTGGGGCTGGACCCGAAAGCCACCCTCGATGCTGTGAAGAACAGAATACCTACCGGGAACTGAACCCCGATTCCTCGGTCGTCTAGCCCATAGCCCAGACGCTATTCCGGCTGCCTTTCTACTATAAGAGTTATAAGAGCCTTGTAAGTATATACTACAAGGCCCCAAAATTCTATTGCTGAGCTATGAGGGCCAGTTTGTTGAGAGAAAGAAGTTAAAACTGCGAATTTTAGCAGCATGGCCGCGCCATGATGTTCCTGTACTTAATTGAGGATCGCGTGATATGCCAATGGAGGAATGGAGGTATAGCCCCATGCATCAGGTTAAGGTAAACGATGAGCTTCAAGCCCCGGCTGCTTTACCCCCAGGGAAATATCCGTCGGTATCTGTTGGGAGGAGACTGGGTGGTGCCAGAACCAGTCTGTTGATCATGTGGTGAAGAGAACAATCCCTGTCCCCACTGGGAATCTACCAGGCACCTAGCCTATAGCAGTTGCTATACAGACCGAGCTACCCAGGGCTCCTAATGTGATCCTACTAGCGAACATTCAAACACCAGCTATAACATAGGTAATTTTTTAATGCTAGTGGGGTGGGACTAAGTCCCTCGTACTGCGGCCACTTCTAGCCTATTGTACCAGCCCCAGATGATGGGTGAGGGTGATTGTGGAGCAACTGGTGGAATGAAGATTGGCAGGGGAAACCGAAGTACTTGGAGAAAACCTGCCCCAGCGCCACTTTGTCCACCACAAATCCCACTTGACCAGACCCGGGATCTAACCCGGTTTGCCGCGGTGGGAAGACAGCGACTAACCACTTGAGCTATGGCGCAGCCTTTATAACACAGGTAAGTACCAAGGTTTGTGTGCCGATATAACAGGAGAGATGCTGCTCAGTATGTAACATCACAGTGAGAAACTTGCGTGATACATCAATAAATCTTATGGAAGTTAATGATTATTTTCCCAGGAGATCTGAAGCTACACTGCCACACTTCTCCTTTCTGAGCTCACAGCCTTGCTTTCTCCCACTACTTGAACCCTCTCTCCTCTCTTGAGGATACCATAACGTAACAGGACTTAAATATGTGACACTTTTCAAAGTTACGTGCATGCATTTGGAAGGCTGATGTAGCACATATCAAAATGCTGGAAGTAAACTGAAACATGCAAAGTTTCATTATCCACAAAACAGATCCCCTATGTTGCCCATTCATATTTTTTTAATCATATATTACTACTAATATAACCAGAGTTGAAACCAAGGAGGTAAAAGACATTTTGCCTATATAGATCAATGTAAACCACCACCACATTTATCTTCAAAACATTTCAGCATCACTCAGTTTAACTTTACAAGATATGAAAAATGCTCTTAGCTAGAGGAAAGAATGTTAAAACAGTTTTAAGAATGAATACTGCATAATTTTGCATCACTTATTAATCCATATGTTCATTAATTTCAATTAAAACTGTCTGTAGCATAGCTATTAAATAAATTGAAACTACTACTTTATAATATAACTCCAATTATTTTAATTCTGTACAATTTCCTTTTCATTTCATCTCAAAATCACGGCCCTGAATGCATATATTAATGTTTCATGCCTGGTCTTCTATCTTCTTCTCCAATTCTATTAACAATTTCGGTCATCATGGCATTAAACAAGATTGGTGAGAGGATATTTCCTTGTCTCCTCACTTTACTTATTTTGAACCATCTGGCAAGCTTATTCAATACTACTCACATTACCAAACAGTACTTCCATAACTATCGAACGCCATGCAGCAAAGTTCCTGAGAAACCTGCAGTAGCTAAACTGGTCAATAAATTCCCCACCTTTTACAGAACACAATGTTCATTACAGTTTTCACATTAATCTGACAACTGACCCTGTCCTGACTCAGATGAATCTAGTCTGCATCCTTAAAACCTCTCAAATCCATTTCAATACTTTCTGCCCGTCTACATCTATTTGTCTCTTCAAGCCAACCTCTGTATCACTTTTAATCTGTGGAGGGCATGGTATGAGTATGGTCTGTTATAGTGGCTCTTTTCCTCACTGAGATGCTTAAGCTTATTCCTCTGGTATGCACCTGTCAAGGAGGGACATCAAAGGAAATACATTTAAAATTTTAAACAGAGATATTGTGATAACTTACAATTTTCATAAAATGAAACATGTCACATCTGAATACCTTGACTGCCTTATACTCATACTCATGGAGCTGAGCCCTTCTTGATAAGCCGCCAATTCAGCAGCTACTCAAGAATTTCGCAATATTTTATGGAGCCCGAAGGTTCATTACCGCGTTCACAAGAGCCCTCCACTGGGCCCTATCCTGAGCCAGATCAGTCCAATCCATGCCATCCCATCCTCTCTCTCTAAGATCCATTTTAATAATGTCCGCCCACCTACGCCTTGGTCTTCCCAGTGGTCTCTTTCCTTTTGGCTTTCCCACCAATATCCTATACGCATTCGTCTCCCACATTTGTGCTATATGACCTGCCCACCTCATCCTCCTTGACTTGATCATTCTAATTATACTTGGAGAAGAGTACAAGTTATGAAGCTCCTCATAATGCAGTTTTCTCCAACCTCCTGTGACTTCATCTCTCTTTGGTCCAAATATTTTCCTCAACACCCTGTTCTCAAACACCCTCAGTCTATGTTCCTCTAATGTCAGAGACCAAGTTTCATACCCATATAGAACCACAGGCAAAATTAGTTTTGTATATTCTAATTGCCTTATACATGGATTGGATAGATCTGGCTCAGGATAGGGTCCAGTGGAGGGCTCTTGTGAACACGGTGATGAACCTTCGGGTTCCACAAAATGCTGGGAAATTCTTGAGTAGCTGCAGAATTGGCGGCTCCTCAAGAAGGGCTCAGCTCCATGAGTAAGTAATTGCCTTATACTGCACAAACTGACTATGGGTCAGTTCATAACACACTGCCATCCACATTCCATACTGAATAGAAGAGACCTATTCAGTAACTTCAAAAAAGTACTAAACTTCATCATTCAAAGTGCACCCAAGTACTGGATCAGAAGAGAAGCTCCAGCCAGAATCAGCCAGACTGCCTGCTAGTCATGCCTTATCTCATGGGATTGGTGACTGGCAGTGGAGATCCAGTCTTTGGACAAAACCTGCAATAATTACACTATGCCCACCACAAATCCCACACTAACTACTATGATTTCGAATCACAGCCTCTGCTACGAGCAGCCAGTGTCTGAGGTATGGCAATTTCTAAAAATATTTCCATCAACTACCCCTATTCTAAGAACTATAATATCAATATACTCAACGTATATGAGAAAAAGTTCCATACATTCTAAGAATGTTTAACTATATCTTGGAAATTAATAGAAATGCTGATTTTGAAGCAGTCAGTTTCTACTGTAAGCACTGATAGCACATGTTTACCTGCAACTACCAAATGACATTTTCGATCTCTGCTCATTTGTGCCATCATGTCAAGAGTGATGCCAGTCATCAGTTCTTGTCAGTTACATTTGTCTATGTTTGGCTTGGTTCGATTTTCTTTCTTTCTGGCCATTTTCAACCAACATCAAATTGCTCTATGTTTGCTTAGTTCAGTTAAGACATTCGTAGGCTGACACACATATAAAATGTTCTTTGTCAAATAATTATCGTCATACAAAGTGAACTATTTAAAAAAAAACCTGAATGCAGTTTCATCATTCATTTCCACTTTTGAACACGCAGTACAAGTTCCACGTTATGTTGTTCAGTAATAATAATAATACTGAAGTTTACATGCTATATGCCTGCTGCAGAGCAAAACCTCACCTATGTTCATGAAAATGTTCTCATCTTCATGGGTGGGGCTTCAAGTAGTGACAGAAGCATAATACAAGTTGTATGGTTTGTGGGGAATAACTAGCAGCATCTAGAATTTTACCAAAATTTTTATGAGTGCTGTGACACAACTATCCATTTTCATAGCATATGCCTAAGTATGCAGAAGAACTCTGTTAAAGACCTATAGATAGAGGTGGGTGACCAACTTCACATTCAAATCACCTTCATCCTGTGAGGGACGAATAATGCCCAGAATAAGGGAAAAGTTGGCCCCATATATGTTTGATCTGGATGTTGTGAAGAAAATTCTCAGTGTACTTGACATGTCTAGAAACTACACGTCCATTTTCTGGCTCATGTACCTAACAATTAGTTTCACACAGAATAGTGAATACAAGAATTCCACGAATGTGCCAGGATAAAAGTTCATGTATTTACAAATGAATGTTTACAAACATTACATACTACAGTTTACATTAAAAACAAACCTGTTAAATCTGTTAAATTTAAAAAAAAAAAAACTTATATTAGAGCATAACTCAGTGAAGTTTTAATACACAATACTGGGAGTTGCGACATCCAAAACACGTTAAGTTTACAGAATATCTAGCCGGTAAATTCTATTTCGAGCAAGATAACACTGTAGAAATCTTGTGATAAGCAAGGCTTAAGACTAAACTTCGGATCTTAAGTATTTCAGCACAAAATCAATCGTTATTTAGATGGGAATTTTGGGTTTATAAAGGCTTCTTCTACTATATCGGCACATACCCCTTACCCCGTGCCTAGGCTGTTTACACCAAAATTTGAAATTTTGCAGGTGCCAGTGTCGTATGTAACAAAATCACTGCTAAAGCCTATTTTACCCAAAATACGTATAACTATTCCATTTATTAGGTAGAATAAATTGTACTTCGTGAACCAGTGGCCTGAGTTTGCTATTCTAGTGTTATTATACACAGAAATTAAATAGATAGAGAGAAGCCATATCAACGAGGCTTCATCAGTCTTCGCCGAAATCTCCAAATACCAAAAAAAATCGGCGAAAGTAATTTATTTTACACAATACTTACAGGATTTCATTCATCCGCCACATTATGGTTACATATAGAATCACACACACGTAATAAAACACAACTTTCGCTCAGCGACTGTACTACACCAAAAATCAATGAAAAGTTCATAAAACCAGAACCCCATCGCCCAACAGTGGCCATGTTTGGCAACTGAAAACAAACACGCATCGAATTGCGCAAAGATCAATTCATCAGGGAACATGTGCATTCACAACAGATTTCGTGATTTATGAGATTACAAAAGTAGGGGCTCGAACTTATATATGCATTCAACAATACAACTTATCATTGCATAAAATTACCTTGATAAGATAAAATTAAACTGTAGAACTGCTTCACGTTTAAATGACTGATTTTTGACATATACTATTAATTATGATGTTAGTATTTGATAAGAAATTTCAAATATACTGCACACATATCACCACATCAACAGAAAATTAATTTAGTTCAGCGTTCATAACACTTCTATTGCCCGTTTCAAAAAACTAATGCCGACTGATGGGTGTAGCAGACGACCTGCTTCTCGGGTTGAAAGTGCTGGCCTCAAGCGGAAGAAAGTTATACTACTGAAGAGGCGGCAACTGGGTCAGGAAGTGACTCATTCATTGAACTGGTAGGTCAATGCCTACGAATCCTACGAATACCGGTTTAATTACAAAACGTCTGCTCACAAAGCAGTTTCCACACATCATAAAATGAGTTCCACCTAATAAAATAATTTTGAAAGGTATGTGAACACCGAACATCAGAATAAATGAAATTATCTTAGTATCAGTGGATGTAAAAGTTGACTGAATTAGGGAGTGTCATTAACACTCTCCTTGCGGTTCGTGCTAACCACGACTTCACACTGGCCTTGCTGAGGCACATTCATTCGTAACGGAGATCAGGATGATGTCTCAACACCTGCATCTAATCATTCGTGGCTTTAAAATAATGTCAATTATATCGTACCAACGAAGTATTCCGGCAAAAGATTCTTTAAATACAAATCTGTATAAAAAGAATATTTACAATCGGAGAGAGACTGGGAGAGAAAACGCACAGAATATTGGTCTTGCAATAATTTATTTGCCATAGTAGACTGAATGGCCAACAGTTTGGTTTCAAACATCTGTGTAGCCACATTTCTAGCAGTAACATAGATGGGATTGTTTAGCTCAGAATAAAAGAAATACCTACTCGATCCAACATTAGCCGGGATAGCGCAGTCGGTATAACGACTGGCTAAGGACTGGACGACGAAGGGGTCGGAGTTCGAGTCCCGGTGGAGGCAAGACTTTTCACTTCTCCGTGTCGTCCAAACCGGCTCTGGGGCCCACCCAGCCTCCTATCCAATAGATACAGGGGGGGGGGGGGTTAAGGCAGCCACGGCCTGAAGCTGACCACTCACCTCCAACTAGTGCCGAGGTAAAGAAAAAGTGGGTCTATAGGTCCACTCCTCTTTTACGTCTTCATGGCACAGTGCTTAAGAAGCTAAGCACAGGGACACCTTTACTCGATCCAACTTTAGCTTTCCTAGAGGGATTTCTTGACGTTTCTTGTTGTCGTTTGTACGTTTCTCTGAGCCAGAACTCGACAAATTATCGTATTTCACGTGCTATAGGAACTTTGAAGTCAAAACAACGCCAATTAATAATTAAATAACCAACAAGAAAAGTTTGTAAGAATTGCCAGATATGTCAGAACTTTTCAGGAGTGTACAGATATTCAGTGCTTGAGGTGGAATGAAAATAGAACCGGGATTGTTTTCCCCCTTTAAGGTATTGTACATTGCATTTACTGCCAAAGAAGTAACGGGATGCTTTAAAGCCATTTAGAAAAGAACCGGGATGCCATCCCGCCCCACCCCAAGCCCTGCAGATATTTGAAAAAAGAATATGAGCACTTTAAATTAATTCTTACGACTTTAAGGAATGTTTCGAATAAGGAAAAATTCTAAGGCTTTACAGAATTTGCACAAATTATCTAAAATTTTGTCGAATGTTGGAATTCGTCAAGGATTTCTGCAATACTTAAAGAATTTCAGACACGTTCAAAATTTCAGGGCTTCCCATACACTTATGGATAACGTTAGGTCATAATCAGAAACTTAAAATTTCTGTTTCATTTTTAAGAGAAAATTTTCAAACATCGAAGGAGTCTTCAAAACTCCTGGCAGTTTTTCAAATATTTTAAAAAAGCAAAGAATTTCAAGAAATCCTTTCAGGACTTTCGACATAATTTCTAATAAAGGCAAAGCAAAGTTGTCCCTGTGCTGAGTTAAAGCACTATGCCATTAAGACATACTGGGGAGTGGAAATGTAGCTCAACCCTTTCTTCCCCTTGGCATTAGATGGAAGTGAGTGGTAAGCTTCATGCCATTGTTCCTTTATCCCAGGGGAAAGAGCCCCTGGCCCATTGAATAGGAGTCTGGATGGGCCCCAGAATCTGTCTGAACGTTGTGGAGAAGGAAAATCCACCGCAATGCCGGGAATCGAAACCGGACCGTCCAGCCCGTTGTCCGTTGCTATACCGACTGAGCTATCACAACTCCTAATTTCTAATACTTCCAGAAATTACCAAATATTTTCATCAATACTCACACATTTCTAAAATTCTCAGATAGTTGCATGATTCTTGAAAAATTTTCACACGTATCTAAAAATAAATTCAGTTATATAGTATGTCTAATTCAATATTTCCCCAAATTAAAATCAAATTCCTAAATTTAGTGGGGATAATTCAAAATCCCAAGCCTTAATTGGAAATCCCAAACGAAATTCCACAAACCAGAAGTCGAAACCCACAATCCGAACACAAAATACCTGACTCAACCTGACCTAATCTCCATTCTAAAATTTCAGAAATTGACATTTTAAAATTTCTTTCGAATACTTTACAAATGTCTACATCCGAAAAATAAACTAATTAATAAATTCTGAAGGAAAATATTTCCAGAATATTAAGAAATCATTTTTTTTTCTGAGTGCTTAAATGTTCCAAAATATATAAAATATAATTTCCATAGTTCAAAAGTTCTGAATTAAGAGAAAATTAGCTGCAAAATTATCCAAAATTCCTAGAAATCCAAAATAAAAAATATGTACATATCAGATTTAAAAAACACCAAGCCTTTACAAAATGTAAAACGTTTTTCTTTTTTTTTCATATTTCCATATATTCACGTACAATTTAAACAATTAAATGTTAAAAAGTAAAGGTATCCCTGTAACAGGCCATGAAGGCCCATAGGGTTGTGAGACATTGAGGGTCCCACATTATCTAGACAATCGGCTCAAAGATTACAAAATTACAAAGATTAAGGTTACAAATCTCAAAATATCAAAACTATTAGCATGTCAGAAATTTCATAATTTAAAAAAATCCCATAATTTTCCGCATCTTAAAATGACAATATCGTTAAAATATTTAGAAGGAATTCAAGAAGTATCAAAACTCGTTTACATAAATTAACAAATTTTTCGAAGTTTTAGAAATTCCTGAATGCACAAAAACATTCAAATAATATCACAAAGATTCTGACATTTTAAACGGTATGTCATGATTTTAAAGAATATTATAAATTAACAATTTTAATGATTTTTAAATTATTTATATTCCATTCACAAATTTGTCAATTTCAAGAAATTCTAAAAGTTTGTGACAGTGATATATTAATTCAATGATTTAATCTTTCGACTTTATCCATTGTCCTTTTTTCCTTCTTATTTAAAAGAACGTTTCTGATACTTGACTCTGCCTCCATCCTCAGGTGAAAAGGCTGCTCATTTGGGCCCAGTCGATAGAGCTAGCCCGTATCTCCGGACACCAGAACCAATGGAAGGCAGGGTATATAAACCAAATGTGACATAAACCACCTATGAGAGTTGAGAAAAACATTTAAAAACTCCACATACATGAGACCTTGCACCTATGACCATGAATAACGTAACGGCCAGAGTCCAAAGAATCGAAGTACGGCCAAAATAGAAGCCAACATTAAAATGTCAAATTCTGTAAAAAAAAATATATAATGCATATAAAATCAGTAACAGGACTATAGAGTTTTAAACCGCTTGTCTTAACTGCCGCAGATTTTTTGTGTTGTGTTTGGTTTGTATACCCTTCCTTCTCGCGGTTCCGGTATAATCGTCCAAATTTGGATATATATACTTTTGGTATATTTCATTACCTTAACTTAAGTTAAATTAATAATCCTCTTTTGGAAATAATTAATTTAGTGCGTCAGTCACCAAATTAGTTCCAGTGAGTTAGCCGGTTTATTTCATTTAGACGAGATTTATGTCAAATTTTGCAATTAGTTTTGAGGCAGAGGGCTCCACTAACAAACTGGAAATGGAGCGCCAGGGTGCAGGGTCGGTATTCCTTTAGAAATTCTAATGACATAACAAGTCGTAACTTTACGTTACTTCTAAATTTGACTACCGGAGCTGGTAGCCGGCAGTTAAGTTCTCCCAAACTAAATATCACCGGATTTCTTTGTAACTGGGGAACACTACATTTTGTTGTTGTTGTAATCCTGCCTGTTAAAACCAGCCAGTTAGAATTTGGAGGAGGAAGTGTGTACTTCAAGTCTGTAAAATTCAAGGACACCTTTCTGCAAGGACGCTTGGCTTAAAAACAAAAACAAACTCCATGGTTTTAGTCCGCAAGCGAACTATACCGACCGAGCGGCCGCCGCTTGTCGGCGAAGTTAGCGCCTCTGTGGTCTAGTGGTCCGAGTTCCTGGCTACAGATCCAGACGTCCGGGTTCGATTCCCGGCGCTACAAGATTTTCTGAGAAGTAGTGTGTCTGGAACGGTGTCCACTCAGCCTTATGAGAATAATTGAGGAACTATTTCAAAGAAATAGCGATTCCGGTCTAGAAAACTGAGATTAACGGCCGTGGGGATTCGTTGCGCTGACCACGCGACATCCTCTATCCTCTAAAGTTGGCATTTTGTAAATTTTGTAAATTGCAATGATAGATTTCGGACGTGTCTGAGTGCCATCCGACCCCAAATTTAAAATCTCCAACTCTGTAACCATTTCGAATTTCGGGTCAAAAATCTCACTAATTAATTTCACATATGTTATTTGGCAATTCCAGCAATTAAAAATAAACTGTATTTCAGAAACGCTGAAAGTGTG